AACAAACAAACAAACAAACAATACAAAACGGAGAATAACAGCTAATGGAATAGATACTTGGGTCGGGGATCATATCTTGCAGGCGGCGAGACGTTCAGGGCGGAAGGGATCGTGGAGCGATCGCACGAAGTCCGGCCGTAGATATCTAGAGAACAGAGGGTGCAGTTAGCCGCGCTCGTTACCTGTGAGGTTAATCAGCACAGTAATTCAATAAGTACAGCCTATACTATGAACTACAATGCAAAGCAACTGTGTTTGAAAGAAACAGCGTTGCAAGTGAGTCTCCAGTAAAAGCATCATTCCATCTAGTATGGAGAAAATAACTGCATCGATTCAAGTACCACTAGAAGCAGGGTACATATTTACAGTTCGAACACCGACATGAAGCGATATATAAATAAGCAACTCACTGGCAAGCGTAAAGGCAGGCCTCGGAGAAGGTATGCCTCAGGCCCTCTGCGGAAACTACTTGACTGCCAGCCCGGTGCAGACCACTTGACAGCCAGGGCCAGTGCTCAATCAGCACTTCCAGCACCTAAATGAGAGAAATAAAACAGGAATGAAGTAAGGACAAAGATTTAGCCTAACAAATGAAGTTGTATATAAAGACGTTAAGGAGGACAGTTGTGTAAAGTATACCGGGCTGTTGGTCTCAGCGTTTTCCATAGAGCCGAAGAGAGAGGGTGTGCGGCATAAGGCCAGTGCCCGTGGGGACATCCGGTTGCTGGCTTGAAGTGCCAAAACCTCTCGGAGGTGGTGCCTGCATCAAGAAGTCCAGTGTGGCCAAGCGCCACTCTCGCTCCCGGAAATCAGTCTGCTTGCAACCGGAGCGGCAAAACGAAGATGCAAAGCCTGCTCGCAACCGACCTAAGGGCCGAGCCAGACCTGCTGGCGTCCGCAGACACCGAGTGAGATCCTCAGCCGCCATGACGGAGGCGAAGGCTTCAGCATTCAGTAGGTTTGTGGGCAAGAGACCCAGATAGCGCTTGATTGCTGACGGGATTTCTCGGCCATGAAAGGCCCCCTCGTCCGAATCCAGACGATCACACAGCTGACTTACATCCTTAAGTTACAAAAATGTGTGAATATACCGATTAACGTGTATCTAAAGAACAATGTTCTTTTGTGTATGGATTAAACTGTATGTATATGATTAGTGACGTGGCTTAGAAATTAGCCAGCTTTATGATATCTCGGACTTTGGAGGCCCGTCCTGAGACACGGTAGATACCCTCAAGCTCCAGACCGCGTAAACGCAAAGCCTTCACCATCTCCGTCAACAGCAGCGGAACCCCCTGGTCGAAGAAATAAGAAGGTATATTAGGACAGGACTAAACAGGTCCTTCAATGCAAAATCTCGTAATCGACATCCATCTTGAGAGCCACTTAACGGGTAATCGGGTGACACTGCCTGTTGCGATAAACGCGATCCGAACACTGGCCCCCATGGGTCCGACTGCAAACAATCTGCAAATGAGGAAGAGTGGAAGGTGACATAAGGCAGGCTTACTCAAGCCCTTATTCCCAAGCCTGCACTGGTGTGAACTGCCCTCGAAGGCTTCAAGTAACTAATGAGCTGGGTAGGAGTACTAAGACATTACAATTCGTGCATGTGTATTGACTCAGAAGCCCTTTTTCCTTCACGCCACACACGAGGTCACGTGATGGCAACAGGTTGCCCGGCCTCGGTGACCACAGCCTGCATCAACGCCCGATCCCCCATGGCGGCCAACGTGCTCACACACTGACGCTCTACCGCCAGTCTCGCACGACTGGGGCGCACATGCGCATTCTAGTCTGGTCTGGCCAATCACCTTCCCGGTTTGGTCAATCACCTTCAAGTTAAAGGGCTGTCAGTCCGTTTGTGTGTGCCTGTTCTTGCCGTACGTGGGTCCTCGGTCACCTGCAGTGCAGTCTGATTGGCCAAAAACTTCTTCCGGTCTTACCAATTACCTTCATGACTAACCACAATATGTCTTCTTTTGTATTAGGATGTTTACTTTTATACATTAAGACTTATGGGAACGTAGCTTGGGCTACTTTCACGTACCAGGGATTTCCTTGTAAAAATCCTAGAATTTCATCAATTATATCACCTACTGTATGGTTAGTATCATATAGCAATTTCGGAGGGGAGGAGCATTGTGAGGAAATGCCCCCTGTATACTGACTGTTAGTAAGTAGCGCTTCAGATATTTTTCATATTTTAAATCAGACATATCAAACATATTTATTCAGACATATTTATAAATCGGACAAACAGGAAAATTGTAAAGTGTCTGCATGCTGTTGAAGGTTTCAATTAACTTGGAAGCTGGGTGGGAATACTAAGACATCAAAATTCTTGCATGTATTCCTAGTGGCTGCACACAATGACCACATTCACGGTTCTTAAAGGGCATATAAGGCTAGGATCATATAGCTATTTCAGAGGAGAGGAGTATTATAGGAAAAAAAACACTTTCCGTCTACTGACTACTAGTAAGTAGAGTTTATGACATGCTTCATAGTTATAAATGGAACAACGAAGAAAATTGTAAAGTGTCTGCATGCTCGTACTCCACATGATCTCATTTCTATTGTCGATCTTCAATTAAAGTAGACAGTATGAGAAAGAGAGAGAACCAGTGCAATGTTATCCAAGGAATAATCGTGACCAAGCACCTAAATGCCTGGTGTGACAAACAGCACCTAAACTCCAGAGCTTGTGGGTCCGCCTGTAAGTGATTTGGAAAGAGGGAAGACAGGAAATTAGCGTAACACAGGTTATCTTAGTATTTATTGATGTGTCGAGATATCAAAAGCCTCAACTAACACGACAAAAAGTTGCCTATTTTCAGACATCGGAATTCGTGGATGGCGTTCTAGTGACTCGGTACAATGGACACAGTCACAGCTAAGATCAGATAGCTACGATTATTGTCCGAAATCACCTCCTGTATACTGACTTTCAGTAAGTG